TGCTGTTGGAGACTTCGTCTTCTCCTCGGTTTCTTCGGCTTACTAGCTCAGCTCTCACCGTGTTGTATCTTTCGGATTTATTGTAGAAATCCACTACGCTCAACCGAAGACAATTATACAACCGGGACACAGCAGCTACAACCTACTCCGTCCAAACAATTAACGTCTCCGTGGGATATATAAATAATTTGTAGCAGAGGACTTAAACCTTATTTCCAAGTAACCCTTTTGTTGATACAACGTGTCGTTACATTTTTGGTAATATACTGCTACTTAACATTCCATTGACTTGAATTTTATTTCTCATATTTCGTAATACTAGTGAACTCTAACATAAGTCCCCTACAAATTAATTGGTGAGCCCGTTTTGGAACACGGATTATTTTCACGTATCTATATACTTATTTTTGCTATTTTGTACTTTCATTGCAATTTTTTGTTGGTGGTTTCATATTTGTATTCCCCTTTGTATCAATATTCTCACACCTATAATGTCGTCACCAATACTCGCCGCCATTGCAGACTTAGCGGCAAGGCTTGACAAGTTGGAAACACCTAGATCTGATCGACGAGTCGAGAGGCGGAGTTCACAAGCACGGTCACAATCACATAGACGATCTCACTCCCGACAGCGTTCCCGCATGTCTTCTAGGGACAGCAATATATGTTGGTATCATAGGAAGTTTGGACGTCATGCCCTGAAATATGTCAAACCGTGCATCTTTAGTGAAGAGAATCAGGCTCAGGGGAAACGTCTCAGCCAGACAGTGATGGCGACAGCTGTCACTGGCAACCATTCAAGTCGCCCTTTCTACGTGAGGGACAAAACGACAGGCACATTATTCCTGGTAGACACAGCAGCCAAAGTTAGTGTAATACCTCCTTCACTCTCCAGGCGGTTTTCTAGCACACCTGCAAAACTTTCACTTCGAGCAGCTAACCAAACTAGCATACGGACTTACGGTGAACAATCACTTATTTTGGATCTTGGTTTACGTCGTCGATTTACGTGGATATTCATAGTAGCCGACGTTAGTCATGCCATATTGGGTGCCGATTTTTTAAGCAATTTCAATCTGCTGGTTGATGTCAACAAGAAAAAGCTGATTGATAACTGCACCCAGCTTCAAGTCCACGGAATCATCTCAAACTACTCTGTTTATAACATATGCATCGAAAAGCCAGGTGACTGCATGTTTTCTGCATTACTGCATCGTTTCCCAAAAATTTTAAAGCCATCTTATATTATCGAAGATGTTCCTCATTCTGTCACGCATAAAATTGTCACAACTGGTCAACCCGTCAGAGCACGTCCTCGTCGACTACCACCCGACAAGTTAGCAGCAGCCAAAGCTGAATTCGAACACATGATGCAATAGGGCATCATCCGGCCATCCAACAGCCCCTGGTCCTCACCATTACATATGGTACCAAAAGCTGAGCATGATTGGCGACCGTGTGGGGATTACCGACGTTTGAATAACGCCACTGTCCCAGATCGTTATCCCATTCCGCACTTGCATGATTTCTCTCTAGCACTGCAAGGTAAAACTATTTTCTCCAAAGTGGATTTAGTCAGAGCTTATCACCAGATACCAGTCGCTCCTGAGGACATCGAGAAGACAGCTATTATCACACCTTTTGGCTTGTTTGAATTCTTACGAATGCCTTTCGGACTGAAAAACGCTGCACAAACTTTTCAGCGCTTCATGGACCAAGTCACGCGGGGCCTTGACTTTGTGTTCGTTTATATCGACGACGTACTAATTGCTAGCAAGTCGGAAGAGGAACATAAGAATCATCTTAGCACTTTGTTTCAGCGTTTCGAACAGTATGGTGTCGCTATAAATCCTAAGAAGTGCATTTTCGGTGCCTCTTCTATTCAATTTTTGGGACACTACATAACTGCCAAGGGAATCAGGCCTACTGAGGAAAAGATAGATACAATAAAAAACTTCCCCCAACCAGACTCTTTGAAGAAAGTCCGACAATTTTTGGGGATGTTTGATTTCTATCGACGTTTTATTCCTTCGTGTGCCTCTATCGTCCAACCTTTAACCGATCTCCTTAAAAGTGATCCTAAAAAATTTCAATGGTCAGAGCAAGCACACGAATCTTTCTGCAACGCTAAAGACGCTTTATCTAAAGTCGCTATGTTGTCTCACATCAACCCCGAAGCATCCCTTATCCTGTGCACAGATGCCTCCCAAGTAGCTGTGGGCGCGGTGTTACAGCAAAAGATTAATGGTGACGTTACCCCACTTGCTTTCTTTTCGAAGAGGTTAGAACCGGCCCAGACACGTTACAGTACTTTTGGGAGAGAATTGTTGGCTATATACCTAGCAGTCAAACACTTCAGTTACTTACTACAGGGTCGGCATTTCACTATTTTTACTGACCACAAACCTCTGTGCTATGCTTTCACCACTTCGCTGGATAAACACTCCCCAAGAGAAGCCAGACAGTTAGACTATATCTCCCAATTTTCAACTGACATACAGTACATCAAAGGGGACGCAAACGTGGTAGCTGATTCTCTTTCAAGAGGTGATATACACCAGCTTGAAACTTCAGTAGACGTCAGTCTTGACCGTATGGCTCAGTTACAAAGAGACGACGCAGAACTTCGAAATTGTCGTGGAAACTCTTCCTTACAGCTCAGGGACGTACCTATTCTCTTGTCAGATGCCACTATAGTTTGTGATGTATCTACCGGCACTAATCGCCCGTTTGTTCCTCTCCAATGCCGAAAAGCTTTATTCGACCACTTACATTCGCTCTCTCACCCTGGAGTACGTGCCACCGTCAGACTCATCAGCGAACGTTTCGTGTGGCCTAAAATGAACTCTGACATTCGGAGATGGGCACGAGAATGTCTCCAATGCCAACGCTCCAAAGTACACCGCCACACTATCACAACGCCAAAAACGTTTGATTTACCGGACAGGAGATTTCAGCACGTTCATATAGATATTGTAGGACCATTGTGAACGTCAAGAGGATATACACATATCCTGACAGCCATTGATAGATTTACTCGTTGGGCTATTGCATGCCCCCTGAACGATATATCTGCCGAAAATGTTGCTTTGGTTTTCCTCGACCGCTGGGTGTCAAATTACGGTGTACCAACTACTATTACATCCGACCGCGGTCCTCAATTCCAATCGACACTCTTTCGCGAACTGACGAGACTCCTGGGAGTGAAACACATCTCCACGACAGCCTATCATCCGACAGCGAATGGTCTAGTGGAAAGATTCCACAGACAACTGAAAAGCTCCCTGATGGCGCAAAATGATACATCTAAGTGGAGTGAATACTTACCTTTAATTTTACTGGGTATCCGATCTACTATGAAAGAAGATTTAGGATGTAGACCGGCTCAACTTGTTTATGGCACCAACCTAACCTTGCCTGGACAGCTAGTCCCCTCAGCCGATTTCACGGACGTGAACATCACCGACTTCACCAACCGATTAACTAGACAAATGCTTCAGCTTCAACCAACAGCACCTCGACAATCTCCCGACGAGATCAGATCAACAAACATCTACAAACTTGCAAATTCGTGTTTGTTCGAGTCGACGCCGTCAGAAAAGGATTACAACCTCCATACGAAGGACCATTTCAAGTTATTAAACGTTCAGAAAAACACTTTACGGTGAACAAGAATGGAAAACGAGAGACTGTTTCCATCGATCGCATCAGACCCGCATACACAGACAACGATTTTGAAACTACATCGGCAACTGCACAATCAAATAATCAAACATCACATTCCACTCCACCGGCACCAAGTCTTATCATCCCTCCATATCAAACACGTAGTGGTCGGCAAATCAGTAAACCGGCTCGCTACGTTCATTTTGAGGACTAATAAAAAAATATTAACAATTATTATTATTATCTTTTTCGTTTAGACATTATTATCATGACCGTTAGTATTTCGTTGTAAACTTTGATGTTACTATCACTATTATTTACTTATGTGTATCTCACCTATAAAACAGGCATTGTCCTTTTCAGAAACTATTGATCTTTAATCCATATTTTTTCTTTTTCGTTATACATTGAAAATCTATGCTCATGGTTAGTGCAAATTTAAAAGACATGACTTTCTGTTTTAATTTTTTTTATTGCTGAACTAATTGTATATGCTTTCAGACTTTACATGACTCACATAACTTCTTACGTTTATGCATGTTGTAATATATCCCTATTTTTATCCAAAAATTGTTATTACTATTATTATTTACTTCACAGCTTTACTTAACATTTTCCGATGGTCTCTCCGGACCTTTGGGGGGGGGGAGTCCTGTGGAGTGCGTAACAATGTGATTGTACTCTTTTTGGTTATTTGTAGAAATTAGACATATTGTACATAATTTTTGTTTCTTGTTGAAATACCCTTGGCTTCCGTGTACATTTTGGAAAATACACTCTGCTGTTGGAGACTTCGTCTTCTCCTCGGTTTCTTCGGCTTACTAGCTCAGCTCTCACCGTGTTGTATCTTTCGGATTTATTGTAGAAATCCACTACGCTCAACCGAAGACAATTATACAACCGGGACACAGCAGCTACAACCTACTCCGTCCAAACAATTAACGTCTCCGTGGGATATATAAATAATTTGTAGCAGAGGACTTAAACCTTATTTCCAAGTAACCCTTTTGTTGATACAACGTGTCGTTACATTTTTGGTAATATACTGCTACTTAACATTCCATTGACTTGAATTTTATTTCTCATATTTCGTAATACTAGTGAACTCTAACATAAGTCCCCTACATACTCGTTAACGACCTGGACAGATGCATGTGAAAATGAATCTCACATCTTAAAACCATGGGTTTTGTGTCAACACAAAGTCTGCATTTTAGTATTTCATTCTTCCATAAACTTATGAAACAGTCATTTATTCAACTACAATTCGATAGTCAAGTTCATTTTGTTATCTTGCGAAATACAAAGTAGTGACTTCTCTAAAATTCTAAAACTTATAGCTTTTTCACACCAGTAAAAAGTGCATGTGCCTATAGAAAAAAGGAACAAATTAGCGTTAATCAATCTAAGTCTAGAATTCAATAAAGGCAGCATTATTTATAATATTCGCTTTCAAAAGTGAATACAAATAAAATGGACTTTTAAATAGTGTGGCAGCTGAAAAAATTTACCACGAGTTTACATATTTAACATATTCGTTGACTTACAAATATGTACTTTAACTTTGAACAACAGTGTAATTCACTTTTTCGACATCATGCTTGATTCACTCACACATTATTCTTCTTCACGTAACGCGGTCATATGCCTCTGAAGACTGGGTTGGAGAAATCTTTTTATTTCATCCAATGCCAGGACTGCTGCTGCCCTTGTATTTTACTACAATGTATATTTATCATAACATAC